AAAAAAAAAAAAAACAATCTGCATAATCTCAAAGTATCTCCTAAAAGGTATTTATTAACTACAAAGGAAAAGACAGTAACTTTATAGTGGAGAAACCCAGCAGACACCACCTTAACCAAGTGATCAAGGTTAACATAATGAATTCTGGACCCCTTGAAATGACACAATGAAATGCACCTCTTGATATGATGCATTTCTGTGATATTCTTGCCAAAAATGCAAAACCTCATTCTAATTATGTGAGTACATCAAACTCAAACTGAGGATCATCCAACAAAATACCTGACCAGTACTCTTCCAATACTTCAAAGTCATAAAAAACAACAAACAAACAACAAACTGTCAGACTAAGGAGCAGTAATAAACGCCAAGATGGGATCCTAGATAGGGTCCTGGAACAGAAAAAGAACACCTAGTGAAAAAGTTGGTGAAATTCAAATAAGATCTGTAAATCAGTCAATGGCACTGCACCAACATCAAGTTTGTGGTTTTCATAACTGTATTGTGGTTATAGATTATAATTTAGCAGAAACTGAGTAAGAGGTATACAGAAACTATACTATTTTGCAATTCTTCTAGAAGTCTAAAATTAGTTCAAAATTTAAAAAAAATTTCTGGTATTGTTTTACAATGGTCTAAAAGAGAACATTTATGACCAGCTTCATTTTAACCCACTGAAATGTGAATTTAACATGATAAATAAAGCTACGCTAAGTTATAGCTGAAACTCTGTTGTAAGACTGAGGCTATGAAATGGGGCTACACCACTTCATCTGGTCTTCAGCAAGACATAAGAAAATGTTATCAAACACTTTTTCTTTGCTTCTACTACCATCTTGTTCTATGAGGGAACATCTTATTTGCAAGAAGTTAACATAATACATAAACAACGACAGGCTCAAATTATGAAAAATTATTTAATGACAGTACTCTTGAAATTACATGTCTGTAAAGAATATCACAATAGTCCCACAACAAACTTTGTAACTGGGGGAAAGATCTAGCACAGCTCACTTGAATAACATTTCATTTGGGAGTCAGGAGCTCCTTTGAGTGTGTGTGATGGTATTCTTGGTTTTTTGTGGGGGAGGGGAGGAAAGTTTTAACTAAAAATATATGCACAGTTGACTAAAATTTACTAAAGAACAAGTCTTCTACATTTCTAGGCTATCTTTCAAAATCAGTCCTCTGTTCTGAATTATCCATTAACTTGTGGAGATTCAGGCTCACCCCCTTATTATTAAAATACATATTCATAAAACTTTTACAGTTGTGCTGTTCTAGTTACAAATAGCTTCTACTTTTCTAGGACATAATTTCACTTTGTTTAAGCAAGAATTCATTAAAGAAGCTATAAATAACCTTAAATATTTAGCCATGAATAGAGGGTGGACTGGCATTGATGGCTTATTTTAGCACTAATGCAGAATGCTTTTTAAAAGCTACATTTCAGCATGCATCAAGCTAATGGTTAACACTTGCAGTATAACTTTCAATGTTAGAATAAATTTCTCTTTATTTTAAAGATTTTTGCTAACAGTCAATATGTTATTTCAATTATTTACTAGTAAGAAAGTAGCCCTGGAGAATGACAATGGTGGAAAAATTAAAATTAAAATTTATTTTAAAAAAATGTTTTTTTTTAGCATCTACACAACCTCTCCTTCTCTCCCAAAACATAATGCCAGTTAAAAGTGAACAACTTAAGGGAGAAGAATTGCCTATGGAATTGTAAGAATTCAAGGATTCATTGTGTGGTGCATGTAGCATACATATGAATCAAAGACATTTATTTCTATAATTCAACTCTGAATCATAAAGCTCACATTTTAGAGACCAAGTTTCATAAAATTTTTACTTGAAAAAAAAATGTTTTACAAAATACCATTCTTCCAATCAAAGAAACTTTCCCAAAGGGTACATGTAGTTTTCTGCCTCAGAGATGATAGAATGACAGTCAAAGGGGAGAGAGAGGTTTTTTAAATAGCCACCTAGCTGCAAAACCTACAAGAAGTAGATTTTTTTTAAAGTGCCTTTAAAATGCTAAAGTAAGGAATATAATTGTTGAATCTATTTGAAATTTTAAAAGTTTCCTTAAAATGGTCCATATGGTATGCACAACTTCACAGCTGGCACAAAACTGCCTGTATTTAGTTCAAAACACAAAAACAATACATATGAACAGTATTCTTTGAAAAATAATTCCAAATACTGCCACCACATCCTAAGAAAACTTAGACAACAGTATTGACAGTATTCAGAGAATTAACAAAACAAGCTGAATATTAAAGTATTCAAACATTTACTTTCTTTTTAATACCACTGATAACAGTAAGAGAACTTGCTGCCAAATGCATTCAGGATGCCTTATTTCAACTACATGTAACATATTTTGCTATACAGATTCTAAAGAAATGCAAAACGAGGTTCTAGGATGTAAACTCCTTGGCAGGCCCTAGTTTTTCTGCTGCAATCTGGCAGCTTTGAACTTTGAAACCCTCTTGGTAGTTTCTTCTGATATTTCTGACAAGACTTCTTTTCGTTCTGGAATGGTGGGTAATACAGGATGAACCATGGTTGGGTGTGGTGTTAAGGAGGGCGATAGAAATTCTTTTTCTATTACAGTTCCAGAAAAAGCCTAGAAGACAAAAGTCAGATTATGGTAATAAAATCAAATAAGATGCCCACAAAATCTTGATCCTGTATTTACCAATTAGACATTTCCTTTCATTAGAAGTAAATTCTTGGGGTGCCTGGGTGGCTCAGTCGGTTAAGCATCCGACTTCAGCTCAGGTCATGATCTCATGGTTCATGGCTTCGAGCCCCACATCGGGCTCTGGGCTGCCAGCTCAGAGCCTGGAGCCTGCTTTGGATCTGTGTCTCCCTCTCTCTCTGCCCCTTCCCCACTCACGCTGTCTCTATCAAAAAATGAATAAATGTTAAAAAAAAAATGAATTCTTAAGATTCTTGGATAAATACACATCAAAATATAAACTGTTTAGAGAAGTCAACTACCATTAAAATGTATCTTAATGACATCACCAAATATAAATAGATTTTTATAATATACATGTAAGAAAGCAAAATGTAAAATGAATGTTTTATCTGGGATTAAACAAAAATGGGTATGTAAAAGGTCCCCAATTTTCATACATTCACGTCCAGACCATGACGTAAAAACTAATGTATTAAACTAAAAAATGCTATTAGGGTGTCAAACGTGAGCTGACGAATGAGCTATCCTATGGAGGCCATGCTGCCAGCTAGCCAATAGCTTACTTTTCAGCAGTAGTGACATCTCTTAGGTGGTGTCCATGTATGCAATTACTTGGAATATTTTATTGCATCTTGCCTCAATTTTACTCAAGAGATCAGTGTAAACTGAAAAATTAAGTGCTGATACTAGTGGAGACAGCATCAGTCTCAAAATTTGCTACACTTAATTCAATGATGGAAATCAGATGTTCCACACACTCTCTCACACACACACACACACACACACACACACACACACACACAAAATGGTTCTTTCGTTTCAGCTGGATATTTGCTGGATGTAATGTAGTCAACTGTTTGTTCAACTGGAACAAAAGTAATGTGTACAAAATACTGGAAATACAACCAAAGATACATACATCTTCATATATCTTTTTACATAAAGATCTGTAAAAACCAAGGATTTGATAACAATTTTATTTTTAAGGTCTCTGGTATTTGGATCCCCCCCACCTTTCATCTTCTAAAAACTCATTACATACAAAGTAAAATTTGACACCTAAACTTTCATGTGTATTTTGCTTGCTTTTGTCTACCAAGAGTACAAACTGAGTTAAGACAGTGTATCACCTGAAAAGTTTAAAAAGCCATCCCCTCCACCTTGCCCCACCAAAGAAATGAAAAAACAAGAATGCCCCTACCCTCCCACAGTATTTCAAGAACTTGGGTGAAATCCAAGCTCTTAAAAGAAACTTAAAGTCTACTTTCTCAAAACTCCTATTGATAAAATAGGATGATAAAATAGGATGATGCTCACTGAGCCTTCTTACTATATTAAAAATGCTTTTGAGGGGCGCCTGGGTGGCGCAGTCGGTTAAGCGTCCGACTTCAGCCAGGTCACGATCTCGCAGTCCGGGAGTTCGAGCCCCGCGTCAGGCTCTGGGCTGATGGCTCAGAGCCTGGAGCCTGTTTCCGATTCTGTGTCTCCCTCTCTCTCTGCCCCTCCCCCGTTCATGCTCTGTCTCTGTCGCAAAAATAAATAAATGTTAAAAAAAAAAAAAA